CAAAGAAGTATGGATTGAAACCACCAACACTGTAAAGAAGCGAGGAGAAAACGACCACCTAAAGTGAAGTTGCCCACTTCAGCCAGCCCTAAAGACGCTGTTGCAGACCATGTTGAATGGTGGAATTTAGTTTTTTCCCATTCGTGGTGTTGTCATTTGATACATCTGTTAAATGTTTAGGTGTTGTGGGAGTGGTTGTTCGAGGAAGTACGCAGTGTTGCATCTTGTTCCTTCTGCAGCAAAAACCCTGAAGCGTGTCAAGGGAAAGAAAGTTGCAGGGGAACAAAAGGAAGATATTTTGGCCATGCAAATAAAAACTTCATATTGGTTCATTTTGGGTGATTATGCTGTGGGCGATTTTTGCTTTATCAAACAATATTACAGCATGTTGGGTTTTTTCCTGTTGATTTTAAAGGTAATACTAGTCAGTGCTGTAAAATAGGTTTCTTTTTTATATGCAATTAATCCTTGAGGGTTGATTTTAATTTTGCAAAAAGGAAAAAAATAATTTTCAAACTGTTTAATAATAGAGGGTTTTTTTAAGTCAGTACATGTGGAGAGAATCCCTGTAAATATATGCAAGCATGCACAATCTTCCCTTAAAGCCCCTCCTACCTTCAGCATAACTTACTTAGAAATAGTCCTCTGGCAGCTATTAGGGAATTAATTTGATAGTCCCTATCCTCACTCCAGGAAGCCCTAGCATACATACTGTATAGGAGAGCTAGTACAAAGGTTGGTTGGGGAAAGAGGTCAGGTAACGCTGCTGCAGCCTAGGTTTTACTGGGAGAAAGGCTGCGTTCCAGTGCGCAGTCCTTACTTGGATGTCACAGGAAATTGCTCGAGAGGGTTCAGAGGGACATTCAAGAACAGAAAGCACTGCTGGGAGTAGAGCTGCCAAGGTAAGGTCATGCTTGCATATAATCTTTGTAATCTCCGACACTCTTGCTTAAATGTAACAGCTAATAGACTGCCTAAATTCTCTTCAGTCTCTAGAGACTGCTGTGTTCTGATTTGCTCCTTCTAGTAACCCCTTTGCAGGATTAAGTGAGATAAGGAACAAAGCATAGGCCAAAATTCAAATAATGGATTTAAAATCTGTATTGGTTTCCTTGTTCTTTAGTCCCTGTCTTGTCCAAGATTACAAATACTGTAGAAAGGAGGCAACTATTCTGCAAGTAGCAGATGGGCAAGTTATTAAATACTAGCATAAACCATCCTCTTCCTCTGGCTAGGAATTTTGCAGAGGGCTCTCTTGCTTTAGTCAGTCCATCTTGTCTCTCCCTGGATTGATGTGGCTGGATAAACCTCACGCAAATACTTAACTGATGTAGCTTAATTTACCATACACTAATTTGGGCTTCTTTCCATCCTGAAATCATAGATTTGCTTGTGCTGAATTGTCTGATGTATTTCATCTCTTAAAAAAAATGAACCATGGTGTGGTCAAACTGTCTTGTTCTCTAGTTGTGACACTACATAGCAGCAGCTTGTATTTTCAACTTGACCTTCCTTTCTCCCAGCAACTACAATTGAAAATTCAAACGGTGGACAGTAGGCATAAAGGCTTAATTTAATCCTTCTAATTTAGCTAGCTCAGTAGGTGATCTGAAATCATAGTGTTGGTGTAGAACTGAAGGCATTGGAAGGTACTGGCAGCTTCTAAGGGCACTGCACATATCGAGCGTCACACATCTTCTGGACCTTCCAAACTCTGCATCAGTTACCTGAGAACAAAAATATGCCAGACTGACCGATGTATCCTGTTCTCCTGAGGAGTTTTTATTCGCATGGCCTTATTTACATTGGCATTTTCTCCTCTTCACCCTTCCTGTACCCCATTCCTTACCCTGCCCAATCAATTAAGGGAAAAAAAGCATGTGCTGTTGAATACTAGCATTCCAAATCATCACAGACTCTTGCCTGTTCTTGAACTAGTTTGAAACTGCACTGAAAGGATGCATTGTCTGTAATTTTTTTTGTAAATGACGTAGCACCTGTAAACTGAAAAAATAAACGTTACCTTCAAGTATCTCTCTCTGACATGTATAAGAATAGGTTTTGATGAAGGTGTTCTCTGTAGGGGTGCTCTGTGCTTATTTGAGGTTGCTCTGAATCTAGGAAGAACTGTGAATGACTGACTCCCTGTGATCTTCTCTTGCTTCAACCATTAAGAAAAACATGAATGAAGAGGAGGCATGGAATTGACCAATCTTTTCTCCAATTGCTTCCATCAGCCACAGAGGTATGATCTTGAGAGCTGACGATTACATGGGAAGGGAAATCCAGCCATGAAAGCTGGGAATCTGAGTAGCTGACACCCTGTTAATGTGTGTGTATATGCAGGTGGATCCCTTTACTGAAAGGGATTTTTTTTTTTTAAATGGTTGAGGTTTTGCTTTAAGCCAGGTGTGCATGTCAACTTGGGAGAAAAGCTTTCTTTTGTAGGGATTGAGAGCTGAAGTGAAACAAGTATTACTGCTATTTAAAAAAAAAAAAATCATGTAGGAAGCTAGTACTGAAGACTTGGATAAGCTTGGTGTATCCTAGAGACTCTGGGAAGCTGCTTCTACACATAGTTGTCTTGCATCTTAATTCTAATAGTTTAAAATCCCTGCTGTTTGTGTTAAAGTTTTCTGAAATAGACGTTAGAAATGACTTGAATTACTGGGATCTAATTGCAGATCAAAAGCAAAGAGGGAACTAACATATGCTAAGGAGTTGTTCTGTAACTTAGTCTGGAACTATTAAGAGCAGCGTGGATGCAGCTTTAACCAGGCTCCCCAGCTGCGATAGTACGAACACTACTTGATACAACAGGCATTACTGTATTTTCTGCCACTTCTTCTTTAAAAATAATTTAAACTCTTGCAGGCTGAAATTGTGGAGCTATTTCAGGGGTTACTGGCAGTTTTTCTGTACTTAAATACTGGTGCGTATGTGTAATATGGATACTTAAAGTGCCTGTTTTTCTACCAATGCAAAGATTATTGACTGCTTTAAGTATTACCTAGTTGAGAGCTGATTGTGTACTTTTTTTCACTGAAACCCCCACAAATTCACAGTCCATTTGTATCAATTCTGAGTGGATTGCACTGGAGGTCCCCCAAACTTCCTACTAAACCAAAAAGTGCTTAGAAGTTGTTCTGACAGACTGAAACGCACTGAGCTCATCTCGGCTCCTCAGCAGAGTTCACCACAGTGAGGTTTTCCATGTGGGATTCTGGGGGAGGAGGGTCCTGGCCATGGATTCTGTTCTCTGCCTCAGACTGCACTTTGCATTTTTAGAATTAAGTGGTTGGCACATGAGAATCCTGCACTACTTGAATCCTCCAAAGATAGTATTTACTTCCTGCTGTGTTGCATGTTAAACTAGCATAGAGAGGGGAGGGAAAGGCAGATGGAGTAGTTTAGAAAAATGGATGTGTATTAGTTGCTATGATTTAGGTGGAACCCAGTGATGGCCATCATCGATGCTGATTGTTGAGTATCTGGGAGGCACTAAATGCAGGAGGTTTGACTGAAATGGTGAATTGTTAATTTTTTTTATATTTATTTTTCAACAAATAAATCTGCATTTCACCTTATGCTCTGTGGCTTGTTTCTTAACTGTTCCAGTACAGTATGTATACCAAAATGCAGTGTAAAGTACTGACTTAAAATGCCTGCTGGAATAGATAATGCCACTGAGTAGAACTGCATGACCTGTCTTTTGAGGGGGGGAGGTGCTTCAGGGTTTGGCTTAATTTAACCATTAATTTTCCTCTACAAAGCACACATGTAGCTCATTCCAGAGAAGCCAAAAGAACAAAAAAGGCCAGAGAGCAGCTGTGGGAAGAGGAGGATGGCTGAACAGGAATAAAAAGGTCAGGTGGTTTTGGGGGACATGGGTGGTTAGCTAAAGCAAGACAAAACCTTATCTCTTTCCTCCCAGCGTTGTATTTTGAAATCTCCTTCAGCCTTACTGCTTTATCATTTTTGCTGCCTTGTCATGGTAAAGGCTGGATAGTTAAAGTTGCTGCTTCTCTTCCCAAGGAGAAACAAAGACGCTGTTTGCAAATTCTTGTATTTTACATCAAAAGTACCAAGGTGTCTTCCTTCTAAGAAAAACAAACAAAAAAACCTACAAGATGCTAGGCTGGTTTTAAGTATTTTAAAGCCATCTTTAATAATCAGTTTGTTAGTCTCTTCAGCAAGAGCAATGAAGTAGCAAGTGCTTCCATGCAACTGATGGGAGTTGGCCTTTGGTAGTAATAATGCACTCAAACATCGAGCAATTCTAGTACCTGTTTTCTGGAAGACTAGGGGCAGAAAGACTAGATCAGCACAACAAGGTTTCTAACTTTTCAGGTGAGGACTGCCAGGCAGCAGAACAAAAGCCCATTCTGACATGGCATTAAGGAAGCAGCATATAGAGCAAAGGGTGTGGGGACATGTGAATTGCTTTAACACAACTGTAACCTGCATCACTTCCACAATAAATGTGGTCTAGTGGAGTGTGTCCCTGTCTGCAGCAGGGGGGTTGGAACTAGATGATCTTTAAGGTCCCTTCCAACCCAAACCATTCAATGATTCTGTGAAACAGGAATTGCAATGAGGAGAATTTATCCATATATTTCAGGCAAGATACATGAACCAAAATCTGTTACAGATTCTTCTATAGTAGTAGTTCTGTCTGGCAGCTTCTTGCATTGTCACCAAGTTGTACAGAGCAGAATTTGGCCTGTTTTGCTTAATGCGTTAAAATATAAGCCTTCCAAGTTAGAAGTTGGCCATTCAAGGAACTCTGTTAAGGCATATACAACTAAGAAGGACAGAGGGGGAAGAATCATGCTTTTAGATTATCTGATAATTCACTGAAAGCTGACTTCAGATGATTTCCAGAGAGAACAAGGTTCCCATTCCTGTGTTCTACAAAGAAGCCCCCAAAAGGTAACTAAAACATTGTGATGCTCAGAAAACAATGTTAACTATTACTGTGTTGAACTGATTTCACCTCCATCTTTATTCTAGCTGTAAAATACTGTAAAATAAAGTATGAGAGGATATAGAAAAGTTGTACTTGAATCAATTTTAGAATTACATCAAAGTTTTGTTGTTGTTTTTTTTTAAATTAGCTGGCACATTTAGCAGTAGATTGTGGAGCAACGAGCAAGGGAATCCTTCCAAAGATGAAAGCAGCAGCCTTTGTGCCAGCTGAACCTTCCCTATCACCCAGCTTCACTTTTTCATCTCTACAGCATAGAGATCACAACGCTTCTGGCTTAAAATTGGAATTTGCTGACGTATTTCTGCGAGTTTCTCCATATCTGCAGGGAGGTAAGAAAGACTTATTACAACAGCAGTCAAAAAGGAAAGCTCCTGAGGTCAGGCAGGGAAAAGAGCAGCTTTTGTGGAGAATTGGGTTGTAGGGCACTCCAATGAGGCAGCCCAGGCTGAAGGAAGCCTCAACTTTGCTCTTTCCTAAGGTGGCAGCTTCCTCCTTAGCAGGAAGGAAACTGCAAGGGTATAGGCAAGTGCTGCTTGTTCTTGCTTTCATCTAGCAAAGGTAGAGAATGGATGGGAACATTGTCTTACCTGTAATTGCATGTGCAAGCCCACAGACTTAAAAAAATGCCTCTCATTAATCTCATGACCTGTACTCAAGAAAGCAAGCAGGAAAAAAACCCACACCTTTACCCTTACCTATATCTGTGTATACAACTGTTTCCTCAGCCCCAGCTTTGGCTATGACTTCACCCCTGCAAAATTAAGCACATTTGTTCACAGCATTAACACAGAGGTCTCAAGGCATCAGTCCAGTTGCTGCTGTTTATACAAAAGGGAGTTCCTACCCTTGATGTCTACAGCTGTAAAGACAGTGCTCTCCTAGAAATAGCATCATAATTCATAGCTCTGGCATAACAGAAATGGCTTCCACGCTTTATATGTGGCACATTTTAAATGTGACATATACATACTTAACATAAGTATGTTTCCAAAGGTCAAGAATCATGGTAAGAACAACTATGTGAACCAGTGCACATGAGCATGCAACATACCTCAAGGCGAAAGAAACAACTTCACCAGGGACAGCCATATATGGCAAAGACTAACACTGTCTCCTTTCAGATCCTACTGGCTTTTAATAGGAGTATACTTTTACCCTGCATGAGCTACTGAGCGTTAGTTATCCTGTCTCCCACTAGGTGTTCTGTCACTGCTTTCATCACAAAGTTAAAAGCTCAAGATACAGATAAAGCTTTTCTTACTTGGCAATCATCTGGCAGAGAACTATCAGTGGATTTATTTGAAAGAAAAGCAACTGCCTGAAGATTTGGTCACTTTTACCTCCTGTGCACCTGCATGACTTCTGCTTAAGTCAGAATGTGCCTCTTAGCTAGCTGAAGACGTTCTTTCTTATGTCAAAGCAGTGTTGAGGAAATGAAATACTTTTGTGTACACTGTTTATGATGGTTCAATTCTGCACAGAGAATTACCATAATGCATAGTATATACTGCAGTGAATTTCAGGGACAAGTTGAAAAGGTCAGCAGCTTAAGCAATGCTAAATACTAGTACTAAAGTACGTTCTTTGCTAACAAAAAGAATACATACTGTTAAACTAGTTTTAGTTTCTTTATTGTTTTTCAGTCAGACAGTTTTAAAGGATAATTTTGAGAATGCAGGCTTAAGTCTCGGGTGCTTTTTACCAAAAACTTATGACATTAAGAGTAGATAGAAACGTGGGACTGAAATGTGACTGTCAAGCAAAACATTTTTTAACCAAGAAAAGGCGGTGTGGGTTTTTTTTCTGAACTCACCATGGATTTACTACAGTGCTGTGTCCCCAGGCAATGTAGGATGCTTTTTCATCTCTAGCAGGAGATACTGTAGCTACGAAGACTTGATTATCAACAGCTCTGTGTTCACAGAAAGATGAGGGAAGGGAAAAAGTGAGTAGAATTAATTTTTTTTTTATACCACCAATTAACTAAGCAGAAGAGAAAGTATTCACTCTGAAGGGGAAGCTATATATCCTCCTAAGGAGTAGCCAAAATCATAAATGATAACAAAGGTCAGAGAAAGCAGAGCCTGGAAAGAACAGTCCCTAGCATCTGCTCCAGAGTTAGTGGGTAGAATTAATTACATGTTCTTTCAGTATCTGGCAAAGTTGATTGAAGCTGACCAAATGAATAAATAATACTACATTCAGGATTCTCAGAGTCTATTTCTATCTGTAATTACAGCAGTTCTCAAATGGTTTATTGGCTGTTCTATCTAGAGGTTTGTGTGTGAAGGGTGCTTACAGAGCCATGGGGAAAAGGCCCTTGAAAGGGCCTAACTGCGGAGGGGCTGGCGGGACTGAAGGATAAGAATGCCCTGCTTTTCTCCTTGACAGCAAAATACTTTGGTGTCCTGTGCAAGGCTTGAGGAATGGTGCAGCTCCAATAGCAGTGGCTCTGCGGCACCAAATTCTGATGCATAGTGTCATTTGGAACACCAGAACAGTTCAGTTCCGCATGCTAGAACTCCCTTGGGAACAGGAGGATAAGCTGTTACTTGGTCCTTACCGCCCCCTTTGTAGCAGTTCCCAATGAGCTGGTCCTGTTGTCAGGTTAAAAGCCCCTGGATATATCAGCAGCAGACAACCTTAGTTAAAAAAAAAAATAATCATGGTTGGGCTTTAAGGGGACAATGGTTTACCCTAGAGCAGCCCTTCACTTTTGAGGCTCAAAAAGACAAGGTTTCTTTCAGTACTTCCCAACCTCTGCCCAAAATGGGACCAAAGAGAATCTGTCCATGCATGACACAAGTGATTACTTATGTCAGCAAAGCCCTGTGATACATTACACCTGTCGCCATCACTCCATCAGCAAATACGTGTCAGGAAATGACTGTTACTTTACTCAAGGAGAACAGACACTCATTTGAATAACAAAGCCTTGACCACAAGATGCATTTTGTGTTACTGGGCGAGGATAAGAATGCCCGATCACATGGATTGCCCAGTACATACCACCCTGAAATGGCCCTGCATAGTTCAGCCCTTAGGGCTAACCACGCTCCATGAGGTGACCCAGCCTCACCTTGCTGTCCATAGATCTGAGCCATCTCAGCAAATCTGATATCATAGCAGATGCCCAGGCCCACTTTACAGTATGCTGCTCTCAAAACACAAGAAACAACAGTCATATCACTATCACAAGTACACAAAAGCAATCACAAGACTCCTTGTAGCCATCCTGCCAGCTGTTATTTTGTGTGTCTCACAAACCAGAGGCACTATATTTAAATGTGCATCCTTATCTGTAACAAGCAGTGGCTATTTGTGGGGGTGCATTCATGCTTCATGATGAGAGTGAGACTTACTCTTTAAGACTCTTAGTCTTTCAGACTGTGAGAACCAACCCTCTAAAACCAGCCATTTCCACAAAATCATGTTATATCAGGTCTTTGTGTAATGTATTCTTCTCCGATTTAGCTGCAGGTTTTTCAATTCTTTTGAAGAAAAGAAAGCAGCTTAATTGCTCTTCATGGACTAAAGAAACTACAGTTACATACTTTCTCCCTGGAAGTGTTCAAGGCCAGGTTGGATGGGGCTTTGGGCAACCTGGTCTAGTGGAAGGTGTCCCTGCCCATGGCAGGGGGGGTTGGAACTAGACGGTCTTTGAGGTCCCTTCCAACCCAAACCATTCTGTGATTCTATGATTGCAAGGAGGAAAAAGTGACCATGGGAGACGAGACTCTTCAGAAAGCTCAGTAAACAGGACATGTTAATCTATGAACACTGGGGGGGAGGGAAGTAGGTGTCTTGCTTTATCTGATGTGGTTGATTTAAGAATGTTGAAATGGATTTACAGTTAATTGTCTCCATTATTATATCATCTGCACATGAAACAACATGCCAGTGTAGCTGTTTGCCACATATAAAACATGGCTTGGAAAAGTATTTAAAAACAATTTCAAAGATGTAACTGCTATAAAAAAAAAAACCACAGTAACTTCTCTTTAACAAATCAATAGGATCACTATTTATTAAGCAAAATGCCATGATGTATGCTTAACCCTTTCTACTCCTCTGCCCTTTTGCAATCAGATTGCCTTTTTAAAAGTTTCAGAAGTGACCCACACACTTAGAACAAACTTAGACTGTATTTGCCTTGGTTGTCAAGTTCCTAATACAAATTTGATATTCCAGAAATCCACTGCTTGGGAAAAGAACTCCAGGATGACTATAGTGCTACTGTGGTTGAGCTCCTTAAAGACAGGGCTTGTCTTATACTCACGAGTATCAAACATGGAGAAACTATTCCCCGGACTCAGTGTTTCAGACTCTTTGAACTGTATCTTCCCAGGAATATTAATGTCAAATAAATGAACCTGTAATTATAGTATGATTAATAGCAGTTAATAACAATTTCTCTGCTTGGTGTTTGAGGCTTATTCCATTAGGCACATGTTTTCTAGTTAACATTATCTAGACTTCTCTTTTGTCAGGGTCCCAACTAAACATTGCTTAACATTGTGAGATCTCCTAAAGACGATTTAAAGCAGTTTTCTTCTTTATAGAAATACATGTCTACAGTTATTTGGGAAATAAAACAAAATAATAAAAAAGACTGGCTATTTTAAACAACACATACAATCCCTGTGACTCAAGTGATACACATATGAAATATTTACATTGCTTACCAAACAGAATGCCCTGTCCTTCTCCTGTGCAGTAATAAAGAGTAGTTAAAAATAGCTAAAACCGTAACAGTTAATTTGTACTATGGCTCTATATCTTCTTCATGGAAAGATTCTCTGCAAAATAGCTAAATATCTTGATCTAATGAGTAATTTTGCAAAAGAAAGGATACATATAAAGAGTCTTGAATTTGTCAGGATGATTTTAAGGTATGTTAAAGCAGGTAATATTTTCCTAAGATTTTAGTCCCATTTCTGCAAAACTTCTCCAGAAAATACCTTCACCATGTCATAAAGTTCCCATGACTTCAGCTGTGCAGATGCCTCTTAGCCCCTGCAGACAGTCTTTATCCCTCCCCTGCAATGGAAAATTCTGTTCCCTACCAGAGCTTCCTAACAATACAGCTGGTTTTATATAATTATTCGTTCATATTTACACAGTAAAAGCCTGCACTCATTCTATAACCAACTACCAGGCTTGCAGACTGGTGTGGTGTGATCAATGGAAAGCAACACAGTACTTCAGAAAGTGATCAAATAGTGTAGCTAAGTGTAGAATCAGTTAACAGAAGAAATGAATACCTGCACCCCAGAGGTATTTTGCACCACCTCATTTGTTCCAAGTAACCTTGCATTTCTCTTTTGTTTTTCCTTGAAAGAAGTAAGCTGTTGTTCACCTAAGGAATAATACCTGTATCCACAGTCAGATTAACAGAAACTACATTCTACGGTTATGGAGAAAGGGCAGTTTCTCAGAAGGCATGCAGCAATGCCCAGGTGGGATGACAGTAAGCAAGCATCTACCACAAACAGCGGATACAACTTAACTACAGAACTTGGACTTCAGTTGTCTGCAGTAATCATACATATAGCACACATAGTACGTAAAGAACGATATTTATGATAACAGAAGGAGTAAATCCATTGGGAACCTGAGGGAAAATCCTGATCCCACTTAAGCGGCACTATGTTTTAGACCTAGACCAAGGTACACAGATGAGTTGTATCAGGATTTACTCTTTACTACAGTTTTCCCAGCAACTGGGAAAAGCCAATTATGCCTTCTGCATTTTGTCATCCTTATCCAGAACAAATTTATGGCCACCTTTGGAAGGCGTGTTTACATGTCCCAAATAAAAATTACATGCAATTTTACTGACAGTACACAGCTTATTATTAATGGAATATTCTACTAATTCATATCATCTTTAGGCACAGATGAAATAATTTGTGCAACATTGCTGAGTAACCTTTTAATAACAATATTCTGCCATCTTACCTTCCTATGCTTTGCCAACATTGCACCATCAGGCCCAAAGACAGTACATGTATTATACAGCTTTCCGTCATCCTCTTCTGGAATAGAGCCTTTATAAAGGTGAGAACAAAGATTTCCCCCACTGTATTATGTGGAATTTTGATCCAATGGCACCAAGAGACATTGCCCATTCTCGCCCTCAATGAGGTTACTAAGAGTACACTACCTCCAATGAGATATATGCTGCATTCCTTTGCAACTTCTGAGAGCTTTTGTGTTGATTCCCCAGGGATCTTCTCTGCATAGTCCTTAAAGTATTGGGTCCCATATGGAGAATTAAAACACTCCTAGAATTAGGGGGAAAAAAAAGTTAAAATCCAGTCACACCACTGCAAAGAGATGTACTTGACCTTTCAAACTCCTCTCTATCAACGTTGTCATACAATCTTTAGTTACAGCAGTTTAGTTTACAGGAGCTCCATAAGCAAATCAAAAAATATCAGGAGGCCAGACAGATCTTAACGAGAAAATGCAGTGGATGTGTTGGTGTGAATGTGTGCTAAACAGAACATGAGCTAGGAGCATCATGCAAGCTGCAAGTAACAAGGCTAGGATGTTTACCAGTCTAGACTTCGCAAGATCACAAGGGATGTTCTCATCAGAACAATGAGCTAAGTTCTGCCTAGCTCATTTGACAACTTACAAGCTAAATAGATCCTCTCAAAACTATGAAATGCTCGTGCTTGTCCAGAGCCCATCATTTCTTCATTTTTAAAAGGACCTTTGCAAAAGCATGCATTTCTCAGAATTACTTATTCTTTTGCTAAAACGATCCTTTAAACACCATTTCCTCCAACTGAACAATGTCTTCTGTCCTAGGCTCTAGTTAAAGATTTCCTGTCCCTCAGAACCAGGCATGTAACCCTTACACAGCAAGATTAATAGAGCAGTTTAGATGCCTAAACTAGGTGGCTAGTGGTATTTGAGATGCCCAAGATACAGACAAAACTTTTACTCTGCATTATATCTGCCAGCTCTGTGAGGACGTGAGACATCCCCTGCAACACTTTTGTCCCCTAAAGGAGTACAGCTGAAGGCCACAGATAGGCTATAAAACAGTACCAGTACCAGTACCTACTGTTTGGCAAGCAATTCTGAGCCTCAATTGTTCCCTTGGCTCACTGGAAGTTGGGAGAAGGAGAAAAAAGAAAATTTAGTCCTGTGCTCTCCAAAGTGATAAGCATACAGGGATAGGTCTTTGAATTGCTATCAATTTCTAGATTCAAATGAATTCTGTTTTTATTTCTCTATCCATAGACATTACAAATTTTCTCTCACAAATTTTTCCTGGTTCAGAAATGAAAAAAGTTTAACACATCAAGGCTAAGATGTCATAGGAAAATTGCCATGTGCCTCTGCAGAGGTGTAGATTATATAGGCAGTGCGAGTTACTTCTGTTTTTTACATAGTGTGACTTAAAAAACAAAATGGAGGTAAGAGAATACTTCATGCCCATGTCTTAATGCCAGTATAAAATCTACATACCAAAAGTCTGTGAAAAGCCTTGCCCCTGTTTGACAAGTTTTACTCTAAAAGCATAAATTATCATTAGCAAAGTGAGTATCTTAAGTGAATAGGTCTGGAAAACTCAATGTTTATACATGTGATGAAACTAGCAAATAATAGATAATCTCAATGTAGGAGGCCCAGCCAGAATAATCAAAGGTCACATTTGCAACACAAGAGCTGTGCTAGCACAGGGGAGCTGGGAAGGTTGCTTAGTACTTTGCCTGTGACAGCAGAATGGAAAACATTCTGTGTGTAAAACATCCAGACCAAAAGTTCACCCAAAGAACTTTGCACTCCTGAGTCAGATGCTGCAGGGCACAGAGGTAACACACACGTACCTCCAACAAAAAAAGCTCAAAGCTGCACTGGAAAGGTCACCTCACTGCCAGCACACTCATCTGTGTGAAAATTCAGCAAGTTAATTATGGCTGAAGTCCAAAAAGTAAATCAGAAAGGCTCAGTAATTTTAATTGGCTGTTTATGTTCCCACATCAGAAAGGCTCAGTAATTTTAATTGGCTGTGTGGGAACATAAACAAGGAAGTCACAAAAGAAGTGTGTTTTAATCATAATTCAGCCACAAATGACCTGCTGGAAATGTCTGAAGTCTATTTGTTTCTCACGTACTATCTAATCTGGAATGATTATGACAAAGAGAGTCACTGTATACCTGTATCCCTTCATCTTCATATCAACATTCTTTAGCTGAAAATCACCTTTTCCTACACTTCTAGCACAGAGGCTTCTACAAAGATTCAAACCATCATGTCACTTTCGTGAATTCAGAACATACCAGTGAAGGAATTGCCTGGGATTTAAACCAGCAAAAACTTAATCGGAATCTTATACCACAAAAAAGACAACCTGCCTTTTTTCCTTCTTGCTTTCCCCTCTCAAGTATGCTCCTAGACAGAAGCCCTGTCTTTTTTCTATTTTGGAGCCTCATACAGCATCTAAGCTATCCAGAGAGAAATGGGAATATATAATGCATTAGTAACACCAGAAAGGTTTCCAAGGGTTTAAGGTATAGGTGCTAAATAGACTAAATGGTCTTTACTCACAGGCAGAGCCACAACTTTTGCTCCTTTAGCTGATGCTTCTCTCACCAGCCCACAGGCTCGTTGAAGGTTATCTGATTTAACAGCTGACACACGGAGCTGAATAAGAGCCAGGCGGAAATCTATTGGCAGAAAAGAAAAAATTAGCAGAACTTCCCCAGGAAAAACTCTTCAAAATTTGAATTCACTAATGAGTATTTAACAAAAGAAATTTGCTTATATATTAATATATATACAAACCACTTCCAACTCATTTTGCAGTCTGTCTATGACTCTGGAAACGCTCATCACAGAGGGAGAACGTTCAAACCTAGGCTCGATAATGTAACCATACATCACCATCACTCTGTTCAGGTTGAAGACCACAGAGTTCACATGCTATTAACACTTAGCCTAGGCAGTACCCAGCCCAAGTTCTAACCTAAGATACTGTGTGACAAAGGGAGACTGCTAGTCACCTACATCTGCTTCTTCCTTCCCATTTTGCTACACGCTTTGCGAGCCAACCTTTTTGTTGTGCCCGTTGCCTGATGAGCACTGCATGTCCAAAAAGCCACTATCAAACTAATGGCCATAAACCCCAATAAAGATAACATCTTTCCTGATAATTTCTTTGCAATATGCTTTCTAGCCAAGCGATGGTTGCAAATGTTATCAATGGTGTCTCTGCTGTGCCTAAGCAGGATTTATATTTGCAGGCTCTTGAAATACACAAGTGGAAGACATCAAATGAAGTTTTGTGCACACCCCTTGGACTTCCTTCCATGAATTTCCTAGTACTAGGGCTGTAGCAAAACACATTCTGAACAGGTAGAACTGTCTCCTTTAAAAAAAACCAAAACAAAAAACCCAAACAAACCAACCTCTTTCTTCATAAAGAAAAGTACCCCGGTTTCAAAGCACCTCTCCTCTCTGGAAAACTCCCGTCATACATTCAAAGATCACTATAGGATAAAGAAAGAGCTGCAAGCAACACAGCCTCATTGGTCAGGGAAACAGGAAGAACCGACTCAAGTGAAGATGAGATTGGGTCAGGAAGAGCCAGGCAGAATATCTTTCTTCCTACTTTAGTTCTCACTTCAGTAGCTAAGCAGCTTATTTCCAGAGGTTAAGCAAATGATTAACTGCTCACTTTGCCACTCTTCATGTGACAGATTCTTAGTATTTGGATTACTGAGAAAAAGCTCCACTGAAATTTTGAACAGATGTAACCATAGTTAGCTTCCAGACCCACCTAGATAACCATACTAGGAATCTGTCTAAAACTGTCCCGTATTTGTGGAATGTCTTTTCACTCAGAGAAATCGGACACTTAAAGATTTACATTTCAGCATAAATTCACTTTTGAAAAAAACCCCAAAAACCAACACCCCCCCAAACAACAAACCCAAAAGAGCACGTATTAGGAAAAATTCTACCTACCTCCCTTTCTATAATGTTTAAAAGACTAAGGAACCATTCATTTTATTTTCCCTGTGCCTCAGTTTTGGAGTTTGTTAAAGGGCAAAATTAAAGCTCAGCCACAAGAGGACACGTGTACTTGTGCCTACAGTTTTGTTTAAAAATGCTGAGATGTAGAAGTAACAGAAATACAGAGAAATGTGCAACAGCGCTGTAGATGCCCAAGATCTTTTCTTTTGGCCTTGCTAAGCTGCCTCAAAAACTTCTTAGGATAAGCCTATAGCAATGCAAACCACGGCCAGGTAAAAGCATGTCAGAGTAAAATAATGGTTCATACTTGTATCACTACGAAACACTTTTTTTTTTTGAAAACATCAGAAACTAAGTACGTCTGGTTTGTTCAGATCAAATTTCTCGACAAGTGCACGGTTGCAGCAGTACCCAGAGATGCACGGCAAGGGGTTTCTACCGGCCTGCAGCAAGGTGAGAGCGCCCGGGGCAGCTCCCTCTAGCACCCGCATTGTTTCACACCGCCCCCCAAAGCCTCGGCGACAGGCCCCAGGACTGAGGCCTTTCCAGTCCACGCTAGGAC